TACTGGAAATTGGAGAAGAAGACTGACCAACATAAAGTTTTTCCATTTCTTTCAACAAAAAATTATAAGTTTTCTCTGTTGTATTGTTTTTTTTTTTTGTTTTAAATTGTTGAGCTGGAGACTGGAAAATCAGTGGACTAAGATAGGTTTGTTGCTTAGAAAATAAACTGGTTGATGGTTGGACCGGGTTTTGGTTTTGTACCTGAGGCCGGTTTCCAACAAAGCTTGATTCGATTAGGTAAAGCATATAGGCCGAGAATGGAGATTCGTCCGGGTTAACCAAAATTGGTTAACAGGGGGAACCGGTTCAGAGGCCATTATATCGGATTGAACAGGAGGTGGAAGTGGAGGTGGAGGACGGTTAAGTTAGAGTAAAAGGAGCTGGTCAAACTTTAACCAATTTTGAATGTGGAAGTTTCGGTGTGTTGGGGTTTAGTGACTCTGGAGGATTGAGTGAAGAAGTTGAACCGAGTACAGTTAACTGTTGAACAATGGCTCTAAATTGGTTTTGTTGGTATTATAAACCAAAGTTTGAGGATTTTGTTGTTGATTTTGCTGGGTTGATGGATCTAAACGAAAGTTGTATTAAGATTTGGATAATATTCATTGGTTGTTTAGTTTGATTATTGATTTAACTAAAATTTATAAAAGATGTTTTGTTTAAGGGTTTTCAATTATTCGAATTCCCATCACACACATTGCCATTACAGTATTGTTACTGAAACAGAGACTTTAATATCTTTTTCAAAAAATTATAAGTCTCTTTAAGAAGAATACTGAAAACTGGAGAAGATGGCTCACCAACATAAGGTTTTTCTGTTTCTTTCAACAAAAAAATATAAGTCTGTTGTATGGTTATTTATTTTTTAACAGTGGAGCTGGAGACTGGAAAATCAGTAGTCTAAGACTGGTTTGTTGCAAAGAAAACAACTGGTTGATGGTTGGACATGGTTTTGGTTTTGTACCTGAAGTCGGTTTCCAAAAAAGCTTGATTCGATTAGGTAAAGCATATAAGCTGAGATTGGAGGTTCGACCAGGTTAACCAAAATTGGTTAATAGGGAGAACCGATTCAGATGCCATTATATCAGATTGAACCGGAGGTGGAGGTGGTGGAGGGTGGTTAAGTTAGAGTCAAAGGAGCTGGTCAAGCTTATGATTCATCGTGGGAGAAGGGGACGACTCAGAGTCGAATACTGGAAACTGGAGAAGAAGGCTCACAACAATAAGATTTCTCTGTTTCTTTCAATAAAATAAATCATAAGTTTTCTCTATTATATTGTTTTTTTTTTCTTTTTAATTGTGGAGCTGGAGACTGGAAAATCAGTGGATTAAGACTGGTTTGATGTGTAGAAAATCAACCGGTTAGGACTGGATTAAGACTGGTTTTGTACCTGAGGTCGGTTTCCAACAAAGATTGATTCGATTAGGTAACGCATATAAGCCGAGATCAAAGATTCGACTGGGTTAATTGGTTAACAGGGAGACCCGGTTCAGAGGCCATTGTATCGGATTGAACCGGAGGTGGAGGTGGAGGGCGGTTAACTTAGAGTCAAAGGAGCTGGTCAAACTTTAACCAATTTTGAATGTGGGAGTTTCGGTGGGTTTAGGTTTGGTGACTCTGGAGGATTGACTGAAGAAGTTGAACCGAGTCTGGTTAACAGTTGAACAATGGCTCTGAAATCGGTTTTGCTGATATTATAAACCAAAGCTTGAAGATTTTGTTGTTGATTTTGTTGGGTTGATGGATCTTTACGGAAGTTGTATGAAGATTTGGATAATATTTATTGGGATCCAAGTAAAATTATAAAAATGTTCTCTTTAAGGATTTTAAATTATTCAAAATCCCATCACACATACATTAACATTACATTGTTACTGAAACAGAAATTCCAATTTTTTTTATTTTTTTCAAAATTATGTGCATGGTTGATTCCACAACTCTAGTGATACAGAACTCGAAGTGATTGATAAAAATAGCGTTTAAAAGACTTTACCACTCCTACAAAATATCATGTAGTGGAAGAACAGAAAACCGTTCCAAAAAATTGAAAGAACAAAGATTTACCACTTTTTAAAATTGACATAAACACATGGATCATTAGATACTATACTCTTCAATTTTTTTCACAGCCTAACAAAGGGATGATTCGTGAGTGAATGGGTAGACCACCTCTTGTGTACGTCTCTCTCCAAGCATCTGCTCAAAAAATCTAATGCTTCTTTAGACAACCAACCCGGTATACGAGGAAGGCAATCACTGTGACCAATGAGATGGACCCAATCATCGAAACCAAGATCACCATATTCTCCCCAAACCAATTCTCCGGTTAACATCTCCAAAACCGTACACCCAAAAGCCCACACATCAGCTCCAAAGTCCACAATCCCATGGCTCATAAGCTCTATAGCCTCATATCTTGCAGTGCCTCTCCTATGACCGGTTCCTTCACCGTACTCGATCGACCCTTTCTCCATAGCTAGCCCAAAATCTCCAATCTTGGTCAAATACCCATTAGCTCTTAACCGGTGATCGGTAGGGCAGAGAAAGAGATTCTCCGGTTTAATGTCGCGATGGATGATGTTTCGATCGTGGATGTATCTGAGTCCAGACAAGACATCTCTAGCTTGACGCCTGACTCAAGTAACTATGATATGATATTTAATATTATTTGGATTTTTTTCTTGATGAAAGTTACAACGCTCGTGACTATTGGTACTAAGTATAATTTATGTAATAATTTTTTTAACATTTGTGAACTAGTTACCCAATAACAGTACATTGTCATTAAAAGAGAGAATCAGATCTCTTTTTTGACAATTATGTTTATGATTGGTTCTGAAAATTAAATAGACCTCAAAGTGAGACAAATAGCAATTAGAAGACTTTACCAATCTTACAAATTATAATATTTTGGTTTCTTTTAACATTATTGCTATGCCTCCTTTTATATGTTAAGAAGGAAAGATGAACACTGAATGTATTTGCATTGTAGAGTCTCTCATAAGAGTCTCTTATCTATACAAATAATAATAAATTAAATAGTTATATGTAATATACAAGAGTCTAAAAAGTATTGGAAAAAATCCTTTCAAAAATTTGAAAGATTCTCTCAAACTTTTTTTAAAGACTCTTATACTTAAATATTATTATTTATTATTTTAATATTTTTTATATATAAGAGACTCTTGTAAGAGATCGATCTTAATACAGATGCTCTAAGATTGTATTGCAACATCTAATCTTTGTATTCATGAATCATATGATTCTTCCTTTATATTTGTTATGTTTAGACTTATGCGTTGACTTATTCTAATGGATTCTACTTTTCTATACGGTGTCGTTTATTCTCTTTGATACTTTTAGGTTAATTTTTTCTATATATAAGATGCAGAAACTCCTTAAATCTATATGTTATCATTGCGGCCGTATTTCTTAGATCAAAAATTGTGAAAGCTTCAATTAAATTTTTGATAATTTGTGTAGGATTTCAAATGCATCAAATCAAAGAACTCGATTCATTTTAAAAGGTATGTACCATTTAAAGAACAACTATAGATTTTTTTTTTATTTAATCCATTTATTATATTTTTTTTAAAAAAATGTGTGATTTGTTCTTGTTTTTGTTATCTATGGATTCTCATACTACCAGTAATTGTTTTCCTGTCTCCACATTTAAAAAAAAAAATTGTTAATGTTTTATTTGATTACTAGCGGTTTATGGTTAAATCCATGAAATTTTTTAGATAAAAATTAAATAATGATAATGTATATATTTTGTTTTTAGTAGTGAATTCGTGATTCTCCTAATCTCTATCCAAAAATGAAGAAGATGATGATGAAGAGTTGTAGCTCAAAAGCTCATACTTCTCCAAAGATGGGATGTGAGATTTTAGGAAAAACTTCTGCTGGTGAACCTCTCTATCACCAAGTCCTCGCTGGAAGGGAAATGGAAGAAAATCGTAATTTATTTTGCCACAACATTGGAAAATCAAAATTTTTTTTTTCTCAAACAACATAAGCTTTTCCTAGAATCTCACCATCCCATCTTATTTAAGAAGAATACTGGAAACGGGAGAAAAAGGCTCACCAACATAAGGTTGCTCTGTTTCTTACAATAAAAAAAAAATCATAAATTTTCTCTGTTGTATTGTTTTTTTTCTTTAATTGTGGAGCTGGAGACTGGAAAATCAGTGGATTAAGATAGGTTTGATGCGATGAAAATCAACTGGTTGATGGTTGGACCAGGTTTTGGTTTTGTACCTGAGGTCGGTTTCCAACAAAGCTTGATTCGATTAGGTAAAACATATAGGCCGAGAATGGAGATTCGACCGGGTTAGCCAAAATTGGTTAACAGAACCGATTCAGAGGCCATTATATCGGATTGAACAGGAGGTGGAAGTGGAGGTGGAGGGCGGTTAACTTAGAGTCAAAGGAGCTGGTCAAACTTTAACCAATTTTGAATGTGGGAGTTTTGGTGTGTTTGGGTTTGGTGACGCTGGAGGATTGACTGAAGAAAATGAACGGAGTTCAGTTAACTGTTGAACAATGGCTCTAAAATCGGTTTTGTTGGTATTATAAACCAAAGCTTAAGGATTTTGTTGTTGATTTTGCTTGGTTGATGGATCTAAAAAATGTATTAAGATTTGGATAATATTTATTCGTTGTTTAGATTGATTACTGATCCAACTAAAATTTATAAAAGATATTCTGTTTAAGGGTTTTGAATTATTCAAATTCCCATCACACACATTAACATTACAGTATTGTTACTGAAACAGAAACTCTAATCTTTTTTTTTCTTTTCATAATTATGTTCATGGTTGATTCCACAACTCTAGTGATACAGAACTGGAAGTGATTGATACAAATAGCATTTAAAAGACTTTACCACTGCTACAAAATATCATGTAGTGGAAGAACAGAAAACCGTTCCAAACAATTGAAAGAACAAAGATCATAAACACATCGATCATTAGTTACTGTACTCTTCAACTTCTTTCACAGCCTAACAAAGGGATGATTCGTGAGTGAATGGCTAGACCACCTCTTGTGTACGTCTCTCTCCAAGCATCTGCTCAAAAAATCTATTGCTTCTTTAGACAACCAACCCGGTATACGAGGAAGGCAATCACTGTGACCGATGAGATCGACCCAATCATCGAAACCAAGATCACCATGTTCTCCCCAAACCAATTCTCCGGTTAACATCTCCAAAACCGTACACCCAAAAGCCCACACATCCGTTCCAAAGTCCACAATCCCATGGCTCATAGTCTCTGGAGCCACATACCTCGCAGTGCCTCTCCTATGACCGGTTCCGTCACCGTACTCTATCGACCCTTTCTCCATAGCTAAACCGAAATCTCCAATCTTGGTCAAATTACCCATTAGCTCTTAACCGGTGATCGGTAGGGCAGAGAAAGAGATTCTCCGGTTTAATGTCGCAATGGATGATGTTTCGATCGTGGATGTATCTGAGTCCAGACAAGATATCTCTAGCGAAAAGCTTGACGTCTGACTCAAGTAACTCTCCATGATTATCCTCGATCAAGTCCCTCTTCCAAGTAATTGAGTTTTGACCCACGACGACAAATTTCTTACTCCTCCGTCGTTGGTTAAGGCGGTGGCGGCGGAAGATTTGAGAACGGCGGTTGAAGGTTCTTTGATTATCTCTTTGATACTCTTCCTTTTCTTCTTCTTCTTCTCCTTCTTCATGTTTTTCAAAGTCGGTCGAGTAAATCTCGGATTTTTCTTAGCCATCTTTTTCGTAGATGGAGAATTATTTTGCTGTACAATTTCTTGTTGGTGATCTCGAGGCCGTTGCAAGAGACAACGACTGGGCTTGAGAATCGATTTTTATTTTGCTGTACAATTTCTCCATCTTTCGCACCTCTTACTCTGAGAATTTCTGCGATACTAAAACGATAGGAAGGAAAAAGAAGGAAGCGAGAGACTCTCTGTTGACTTGGGAGTCGAGTTTTTCCTTTTATGCGTTGTGTGTGTGTCTCTGTTTCAATTAGGGCAAAACCTAATTAAATAAGAGGTTCGGTGATGTACTTTGCAATCATTGATTTATGCGCGTCTGGTAAAAGGTTTTCCAATTTTTCAACTTTTTTTGTTCTGTACTAAAATAAAAAAATACATGCATGTGTTTTTATTTTATATTTTGGTTGAATATATTCTTATTGGCTGTTGTAAGAAAGAATATTGGTGATCGCAGATCGAATATTGTACAAATCCACTAGAACAGTAATTAATTAAGATGATGACTTGTATCTGGTGAAAAAAGCAAACAATAATGAAAAAGTATGATCTTGAGATCGATGATTTTGTCTTCAATGCATCCTCAAGAGAGAAACTTACAATTCATCGTGGGAGAAGGGGACGACTTGGATTCGATTTGAGTGATTTTGTCTTCAAAAGTGTTGAACATCTGCTTGCAATGCAAAAGAAAAGCCTAAAAGCTAAATCGGTAAACAATAAAGAGAAACAAAGACACAAACAAACATCAATCCTCCATATAAATTTGGTGCCGTATTTGTCTAGAAGCTTAGCATGTAAGTCACCAATGTATGTCGATTTTGCCTGCTCATTGATTAGGACATTATTTTTGACATTCACCGGAAATATTTGAGGAACTAGCTCGATATTTTCACTGTTTTTATCAATGAAAAGGGGCTCATACATGCCAAAGCGAGCCTGTGAAGCTCCCAGCAAGACGAGGAAGACAAAGAGGAAAAGGCTGATATTTCCCAATCGAATGAACATACTTGAAGATCATAAGGTTAGAGCTTGTTTCTCTAAGACAGAGATCACATAGAAATGTGTTTATATAATAAGATATGTTGTAATATCCTTTTTCTACTAGGAAGTGTTTTTAAAATATTTATCAGAGTTATTTCGCTATGTTTTTGGGTTTGGAACGCTCATATTCTCACGCAAACCCCAAGAACCCTAATCGTACATATCCACTAGAATAATAATTTAATTAACATGATGATTTGTATGGTGAAAAAAAAGCAAACAATCGAGAAAAAGGACGATCTTGAGATAGATGATTTTGTCTTCAATGCATCCTCATGACAGAAGCTTACGATTCCTCGTGGGAGAAGGGGACGACTCGGATTTGATTTGAGTGATTTTTTCTTCAGCTTTGTCGAAGTAGCTAACAAGACTTTTGAAAACCTAGCAGAACATCTGCTTTCAATACAAAAGAAAAGCCTGAAAGCTAAATCGGTAAACAGTAAAGAGAAACAAAGACACAGAAAAACATCAATTCTCCATATCAATTTGGTGTTGTATTAGTCTAAAAGCTTAGCATGCAAGTCACCAAAATATGTCGATTTGGCCTTCTCATTGATTAGGTCATTATTCTCGAGTTTCACCGGAAATATTTGAGGAATTAGCTCGATATTTCCACTGTTTTTATCAATGAAAATGGCTCATACATGCCATAAGGAGCCTGTGAAGCTCCCAGCAAGACGAGGAAGACAAAGAAGAAAAGGCTGAGATTTCCCTATCGAATGAACATACTTGAAGATAAGGTTAGAGCTTGTTTCTCTGAAACAGAAATCACATAATAACGTGTTTATATAAAGGGGAGTTTCATATTTAACCTCCTCTAAAAAGTCAAATACCAAAATAACTTCTTTTATCTTCTTTCTCTAATTTTTGGCATTTTGTCCAATTCTATTCTTCCCTATCTATTCATTAACGAAAATGCTATTATATACCCATTATTTCGATTTTTAAAAAATTACACAAAGACTCTTTGAACCTCCTAAACCCCTTTTTACTATGAAAATGTCATCTTCTTCAATACATTCAACCGCCATAAACAACCCCGAATATGGAATAAATGCTTCTCAACCTATTTTAAAGCTGTAATAAGTTAATATGAGAGCTCATACATTTATAACCTTCCGTATTCTTTCATAATTTCTTCTCCAAAACTTCTGGGCTGATTTACAAAGTCAAAGGTTATGCATTTTCGGTGATTTTAACTTAATCGAGACCTGGATTGTTTATTTTTGGTGAAATTCTGAGTTCCGAGTGCTTAAGAGAACCGAAGGCGAACTCAAAACCGATATAGGTAATGATACACTTCAATTTCTTCCCATTTTTATATTTGTATCGCAAAAGTAGCCTTCAGGAAGGTTATTTATGCAATTGACTTTCTATAAATTTGTAACCAGCAGACTAAGTCTACTTGATATCCTTTGAAAAAAAAAAAAAATCTAGTAGACTTCGTTTGAAGTCGCAAGAAGTCTATGGAAGAAAAGAAGTATTTTTGTAGTTGGCCTTATTTTGACTTTTAAATTGTTACTATCTTATGAAGTTTTTTTTTATAAGTCTGCGCATGAAGTCTACTTTTAAGTTATTTTTGTCTTTGACCAAAATTGTCGAGGTTATTTTTGTGTTTGACTGAAATAGATTTTTTTTTTTAAAAAAAAGTCCAGAAAAATGTTGTAGACTTCAGGATGAAGTCTAAAAGCAAGGTAGACTTCGTTCAGAAGTCTACTTAAATTTCGGTCAAACAACAAAGGAATATTTTTTTAGTAGACTTCAGAACAATCAATTGCAAAAATAACCTATTTTAACCTGTAGACTTCTATTCAATCCAGTAGACTTCAATAGTAGACTGTCTAAAAAGTCTACTCATATAAGAAGTCTACTTTTAAAGTCTACTCCAAAAATCAATGGCCTGGTCAAATGCAAAACTAACCTTTTTTGTTGAAACTCTACAAGTCAAGTCTATTACGAAATAGTCAACGTTTTGGTCAATTGCAAAAATAACTCTTCTTATAGTATACTTCTTTTGCAGACTTCTACATGAAAAAGTAGACTTCTCTTTCAGTCTATCTATGAAGTCTGTAGGAGAAGTCTATTTATTGTATTTATTTTAAAAACGCTTTTCTAGCTCATTTATAAAGTTGTTTTTAAAATTTTTGGTTTTGTAACGCTTGTTAGCAAGTGATTGAACTATTCAATGATTTTGATTTGATTTAAGTCGATATTTATTTCGGAATCGAATATTTTAATTTTTAAGCTAGTTAGCTTATCAAAGTAGACTTCATTTACAGTCTACGAATGTTCTCTGCAAAAGAAGTCTACTAGCTATAAAATTCCTTCTTCAGTGTTTGCTAATATGGTTTATCTGCTTGTTTTTCAGAGAATGGCTCAAATACCTGTTGTGTACGGAGAATGGAAGATGGCGGAGAAATCGTGGCATTTTGTGGTGGATAGTGGCAAAGGAGGAAGAATGTTCTTTTTGAGGGATGGTTGCACCTTTTGGGAACTTACTGAAATGGCACAAGATGATTATAACTTGGGCAAGAAGACTGAGCTGATCGAGCTATCCTACTCCCTACCAGATTCAATGTTGCAAACTATGACTCCGGATACACCTCCAATGCATGTCACCAATGACAGATAAATTTCAAGCTTGATTGCGTTAAGTAGAATGCATATGGTACGTCTTTATGTGTCCAGACGAGTGAAGATGGACACTGAGGAGAACCAGGAAGACTCATATGAAGATTTAGATGAGGAGTCTGATGAAAATGCAGAATATCCTACTGATGACGAGGCAGCCAGTTCTGATTCAACTGAAGATATTAAAGAACCAGCAGATGGAGAAGATGCAGCTTACCCTGACGGGGAAGATTACAGTGCCTACGGTAAAGTGAAAGATGATGATGAAGATGAAGTCTGTATTAATAATGTCAGAAACGGATCTGGTGAAACAGGAAGAACGCCCATGTCATGGTCTGACAATATATATGTTGGGCAATTTTCCTTACCAAGGAGAAGCTGTTATCAAAGGTTCGATTGAAATCTACCATGTTAAACCGTTAAGTCTACAAAGACCCTGTTTGTGGCTAAATGTCGGGTGAAAGGATGTGCTTGGATGATTAGGGCGAGTGTGAAGAATGAAGCATCCACATTTTGAGTGACAAAATATGTGAAAGTCCACACATCTTCAATACGAATGGCTCACCGTGGGAAGTCTACTCCGAAGTATATTGGCAGGCTTTTTATAAGCCATTTGGGCATACTTGATGGATTTGCATCACAAAATGTCAAAGATACAATGAAGCCTATGTTTGGCATCAAGATGGATTACACTACTTCATACAGATCTTTGATATATGCCCAACAATTGGTGAGTAAAACCGCTGGAGATGGATATGCGAGTTTTCCAGCTTACCTACATTCAATTAACAATGCATATCCGGGAACTTTATCAGCTCTTCATGTTGGTTCAAATAATAAATTCAAATACCTATTTCTGGCCTTTAGAGCATCGATTGCTGGTTTTCAGTACATGAGAAGAGTTATTGTGGTGGATGGATGTCATATAACTGGGAAATACAAAGGATTTTTGTTAGTGGCAACCGCACAAGATGGTAATTTTCAGATATTTTCGCTGGCCTTTGGAATTGTTGATGCTGAAGATTTTTTTTCAAAACTGCGTGAATGTGTTTCAGATGATTATCCTTTGGTGATAGTTTCTGACAGGCATACTTCTATTAAGAATGCATGTCAAACTGTTTTCCCATGGGCAAAAAAAGGGATATGTTATTATCATCTACAACATAACATAGTAACAAAGTTGAAAGGAAAGCAGTTGCTGTACTTGGTCAAACGTGTTGCTTATGCATACAACCTCTATGACTACAACCGGTACATGGCGGAGTTATGGCATATCAGGCCTGCTGATCTTGCTGACTATTTGGAAGAAGCCGATGTGAAGCTTTGGTACCGAGTTCATTTTGTTGGAGACAGATACAATATTAAGACTAGGAATATTGTTGAATCTATAAATTCTGCACTTAAGAAAACCCGAGGTTATCCCATATCATTTCTCTTTGAGTTCATACAATAGAAGCTCGGTAGGTGGTTTTTTAAACGTAGAGAGAATGCTTTGAGTCTCACAACACATAATAATCGGGGAGTTGAGTATTTGTTGGCGATCCATGGACATTATGCGGATGCAATGGAGGTAGAACACATTGACACTTGGAGATTCTATGTGAAAGGAGGAAACAGGAATTGTCTTGTCGATTTGGAACATGGAATGTGTGAATGTGGTGTGTGTTATATCGATAAAATCCCTTGTTCACATGCTATTGCAACTGCATTAGAGGGTGTGATATCTGTGGATTTGCTTGTATATTTTACTTACTCAAAACACTATTTTTTGCTGCATACTCGTACAACATATATCCCCAAATCTCAGTGGTTGAAGGAGCCCAACTACCACAATGTCTGCCACCAGAAATTTGCTGCAAATCAGGCAGACGGAAGAAGACTCGCTGGCAATCGTGGCTAGAAATTGCTAGGAGGAGAAGCAGCAACCCAAGGAAGCTGCTCAAACAATACAACTGTTCACATGCAAGCAATCTGGTCATACCCTACTGCATTGTGTAAGTTGAATTCAGCTACTAAATTAATAATGTTCAACGCAAAATTTATTGAATTATTTACTGAAATATTGTGTGTTTCACTTAGACATCGAAGGTTGATCATAAGATGAAGAAGAAGAAGTCTCCGGAATAGAAGGACAAGGTTGCATTTGGGGTACCGAAGTCTACGTTCGAAGTCTTTGATGGAAGTCTACTATAAATGTCTATGTTAGAAGTCTGATGTCTTATTTGTCTAACGGTTATGTTTGAAACGGTTATCTTTCAAACGACTTTAATGACTTTAACGACTTTAACGGTGTATATGTCCGACAGATGTATCTGTTTGTCTCTGTTATTTCTGCATACAAATACACCATGACCTTGAAGTTTAGTTTCATTCCAGACCGTTTATCACAATAGAGAATTTGTGAAACCCTGACCAATTAGAATTAGTTTAATTTTTTTTTCTTTTCCTAACTGATTTCTAATTCCCTGATTAAACCAGAATAAAATCTTCTATATAAACTCTTCTAATCTCTTTTTAACCCTAAACTCCTAAATATCTTTCTGCCTCTCACGCTCTCTCTCTTTTTTTCACTCTCTCTCTCTCACTTCGAGCCTTTCCCTTCTATCTCTCTCCTCGCCACTGCTCCTCTCTCCTCCTTGCCGTGCTGCTGCTTTCTCTCTCTTTTCTCAACATGTCAAGTTTCCCTCTCCTCCTACGCATCTCTGGCTCGCTGCTGATTCTTCATCCTCGCCGTGAAGCTTCTCAACCATCGCCTTCTCCTCGCTCGTTGCTGCTCCTACGCGACGCCTCCAGTAGCACCGGCGAATCCTCCAGCCATCGCTATGATGAGCCATGACAGCTCCTTACCTCACGCCACCTCCACCGCTCGCTGCTGCGCCGCCGAGTGAGCTCCCCTCCACGACCTTCATCTCTTAGCTCGTCGATGAGGAGCTGTACGCACCTCCACGCCTTCTTCCGTTGCCACCACCACCTCTGAAGCAAAGGTGAGGGTTTGCTACTTATCCAACTCCATCATTATGTGCTTTGATGTGTAGATTTGTCTTCTCTTAAACCAAGGTTGTTAGTTATGTCTATAGAATTGATTGAATGTGATATATTGATGATGTTGTTAATTATTGATGATAATGTGTGATGAATTAGTTGACAGAATTAATTCATTGTGATATAGAAAAGGAGTCGATGCTTAATATTAGCTTTATAGGATGTTTGTATAGACGTACATATGTATAAAGGATAGATTAGTCATTTGTAAACCCCTAATCATGATTATGTATTCCGATATATAGTGTAAACTCATCAATCTAATGAATCATTCAGCGTATTCTCTTATATGGTATCAGAGCGCAGCGATCCCTAAAGTTTTTTTTTCAGCCGCCATCTTCTCTAATACCTCTTTTCACCAACTATTTCTTCTATTCCAAATGAAACCATCGCTGTTTCCTCAACCCCAACTCTCCTAAATTGTTAATATGGCGAACGTAACAAAGCTCACGGCGACCAACTTTCTCATGTGGAGCCGTCAAATCAAAGCGTTGCTCAACGGTTACGACATTGCCCAATACCTTGATTCCTCTGCTGCGATTCCATCGACCACCATCACAACAGCTGGTGTCGTCTCCCCAAATCCAGCACACTCCTTCTGGAAGCGCCAAGATCAATTGACCTACAGTGCTTTACTCGGTGCTATCTCCCTGACCATCCAACCGTTGCTGTCTACCACCACGACGTCGGCCGAGATCTGGACCAAACTGTCGGAGACATACGCAAAACAGACCAGAGGTCATCGTCAACAGATCATGCATCAAATCAGACATTTGACCAAGGGCACCAAATCTATCGAATACTTCCAAGGTTTCACTACCCGTTTTGATCAGCTTGCTCTTCTTGACAAGCCGATGGAGCACGAAGATCAACTTGATTACATTCTCGCTGGTCTCCCGGAAGAATACAAACCCATCGTCGACCAAATCGAAGGACGTGACTCTCTGCCTTCTCTGACAGAGCTTCACGAGAAGCTACTTAATTATGAACTCAAGTTACAAGCTGCCGTCGTTCCATCGCCATCGGTTCTAATATCAGCAAATGTCGCAAATTACCAACAACGGCAACCGAAACCAGCATAACAAAAACATTCGTCAAAACCAGACATGGCAGCAACAGCAACCCCAGCAACGATCGGACCAGCCCTCACCACGCGGCTATCAAGGACGTTGTCAGCTTTGCAGAGTTCATGGTCATAGTGCGAAACGGTATTCTCAGTTTCAGGTTACCAGAAGCTCCTTCAATGCTTCCCCACGACCGTACATGGGTTCGTCAGCTCCATGGCAGCCGCGAGCCAATATGGTGGCTGCAACATCTTACAATCCAAACAATTGGATTCTCAACAGCTGTGCAACGCACCATCTCACCACTGATACGAACAACCTCTCCCTCCATTAGCCGTACAACGGAGGAGAAGAAGTCACAATCGCAGACGGCTCCTCCATGCCGATCTCACATACGGGTTCCACTTCCCTTCCTACTCCTTCTCGATCTCTTGCCTTAACAGAAATTCTTTATGTGCCTAATATCCATAAAAATCTAATATCCGTTTACCGTTTATGTAATGCTAACCAAGTGTCTGTGGAATTCTTTCCTACTCAATTTCAAGTGCAGGATCTCAGCACGGAGGCCCGATTGCTCCAAGGGAAAACTAGATACGAGCTATACGAGTGGCAGATTCCATCAAACACACTCGCTACCCTCTTTGCTACACCATCACCAAAAGCAACCATTCCCTCCTGGAATTCCCAACTTGGTCACCCGTCTTCCAAAATACTCCAAAATACTCCAATATATTATTTCCAAGTTTTCTTTACCGCTTTCCCATTCTTTAGAAAAAAAATTTTCTTCTACCCCATTTCATATCAATAAAAGCCACAAATTAACATTTTATTCAAACACAATTGCCTTTACACACCCTCTTGAATACGTTTATAGTGATGTATGAATCTCACATCTGCTCTCGGTTGACGGTTTCAAATACTACCTCATATTGGTGGATCACTTTACCCGATACACATGGCTGTATCCGTTGTGGAAGAAATCCTATGTTCGCAAAACATTCATAGCCTTTCAGGCGCTGGTGGAAAAGCGATTTTAATACAAAATCCGAACTTTGTATTCGGATAATGGTGGCAAGTTCGTGGCTTTACGACAACATCTCTCGCTTCATGGCGTCTCTCATCTGACATCTCCGCCACACACGCCGCAGCATGGTATCTCTGAAAGGAAGCACCGTCATGTGGTTGAAACGGGATTAACACTTCTGAATCATGTTTCACTTCCTACGACATATTGGACGTATGCTTTTGTCACGGTGGTGTATCTGATTAATCGCTTACCGTCTCCGGTGATTGCCAATCTCACTCCATACGCCAAGCTGTTCAATCAGACACCCAATTACCTAAAACTTCGAGTCTTTGGGTGTTTGTGTTTCCCTTGGCTGCGTCCGTACGGAAATCACAAGCTGGAGCCAAGATCCTTACCATGTGTGTTTATTGGGTATTCACTCACTCAGAGTGCTTACCTATGTTTGGATGCCCGCTCTGGTCGTATATACACATCTCGCCATGTGCAGTTCATCGAATCGTAATTTCCGTACTCTATCACCACCACGAAGACAGCTCCTTCTCCTGAATGTGAACCAACCGAAATACCATTTTTCTCTCCTCCCACACCTGTTCTGATAACCTCTTGCCCACTCGTATCAGCTCCGTCAGCCGCGCCCCTGAGCTCAGATTCTCACCAGTCATTTCAGGTGACTTTGACGCCACAAACGACATCGCAGGCATCTTTCAACGATGCTGTTGCAGCAGATGACGGTAATAATTCCACTGAATTTGTTTTACTAAATAATTCCACAGGCTCACTAGACACAAGTGTCAACCCAGCCCAACACCAACAATCACAAGGCCCAAATCCAAATCCATCAAATACCCTACTGATCCTCACCAACTTAAACACGTCGTCCTCCTCAAAATCATGTCCCTCAACCTCCGAAAACAATTCACCACCTCCACCAAACAATCTCCACCCCATGAAAATCAGATCGAAAAATAACATCACTAAACACAAAACCAAACTCAACCTACTCGCCTACCCTAATTCGATCTCACCACAAATACCCACTACCGTTACCCATGCTTTAAGAGATGAGAAGTGGAGAAATGCTATGGGAGCAGAGCTGAATGCTCAAATACGCAATCACACGTTCGACTTGGTTCTTCCTCATCCGAGTCAAAACGTTATTGCAACGAAGTGGATTTTTACCCTGAAATATTTTCCTAACGGTGTTATTGACATGTACAAAGCCCGATTGGTGGCAAAGGGATTCAACCAACAGTATGTCAATGTCATCGACTATTCGGAGGTGTTCAGTCTAGTTGTTAAGTCGGTGACAATTCGGACGGT